TGCATTTCAGGCTCCAGCTTAGGAAAAGACTGTTCTGTACTCGCTGCACAGCTCTCATCAGCAATTCCGTTTTGGTCTAGATGTTTTAAAGTACAAAATACTGAGTTTAGAAGGAAGCTTACGTCAAAATCTGCACAATAGCAGAATTGACTATTACTTAGGGCATAACCAAAATAACAACACACTTGTTAAGATAAAAAAAAAGTAACAGAAATTAAGACAGTCTACATAATTACTGAAACGGATTGCTAGCTTTTACTTAACTTTCATTATTCAGTACCATTTCATTCAGTTCAAAACTATTTTCCATCAGACTCAAGAGAATTCCAAACCTAATCCCCAAATTCAAGCGTTTGGGTGTTGCTTCTGCTAATTCCTATGTTTCATCTTTTACCTTACTAAATCTTTCCTAATGGTCTGTTGTATTTTGAGAAGTCAAGCATTTATGCAACTTTCTTCAAGAAAATAAATCTTAATGAAATATTAACAAGCTAAATGAAGTAGAAGAATTTTTTAAAAGGACATCTTCCATGAAAACAATAAAATGTGGTTTATAAAGGATGTATTACCCAGGTGTCATGTGGTAGAGATACACACACCAGCACAAGAAGTGTCAACATATGAAGTTTCATGCAAGGATTTGTTGGTGGTTTTTTTTTTTAGTTTAAAAAAATAGTCTTTAATTCAGCCCATGACTGAAACATCAGTGTGCAAAAAAGATGAAGTTCAAAAATTAAACTGCAAAATACTGTTACCAACAAAACAACCCAAATGGATATCTGTAGCTAATGAAGAATAAATACATGATGTTTCCAGCAGTGAAACTTTTTTGCTTCTAGAGTACTTCTCCCCTTGAAGTTTTGCCACTTTCTTAGGCAGAAGGATACTGTTTTCTCATTACACCAGTATCCCCTGACTCACCCAGCCTACAGAGAGAACTTTACAAAGAATAAACAGAGAAATTAAGAAGATAGCACCATTAGAAATAATCCCTCTATCCAAATCAGCAAAAAAACCTTCATTTATCCTTATACAACATACTCTGACATTCAGCAGCCTAATAATACAGGGCAAAGGGAGCTCTCATAGCTGTATATTGATAACATTCATAATGGTCATGCATATTACAATCAGAAGTTTTCTAGGGTGCCGTTTGCAAAGTAAGCCTTCATGCAGATAGGCATTCAGCTCATTAACTCCATTTTCGTATTTCCTATTAGTCCCTGAGAATTTAATATTTCTACCTACAATATGGCTATTAAAGGCATTAAAACGATCATACACTTAGCTGTTTGTGATGGAAATGCAATGCAGCTTTAGGGAAAAGAAGCACAGAAACTACAGCAAATTAGCGGTGATGAATACAGATCTTATTTCTAAAATGCTTTCGTTTCATAAGCAGGGTTGCTGAAGAGCAACATAAATTATTTCAGACACGGATACAAAACTAGCCAGCACCAGTTACCCTTAATAAGTTGCTACTATGAATCCAAGACACTTGGGGCTCTGAGACCTCTCTAATTGAGCATTTCCTTTACATAAAATCATCTGGATTTTGACCTAATGTAGGGTCATCATGATCCTTCTTTTAATTACTCAACAGCAGTGCTGGGAGAACTTAAAAGAACCAGGGATTTTCTTTGCTTAACAAGTCTTTTGCCTCTTCAATTAAAGTGATCTCTTTAAATTGTTCAGAATTCAAATGGGTTTTTTTGGTGGACAATTTGCATTATTGCCAGCTGCTCAAAAACCATAAGCTAGGGCTCCCAAAACAAGGGGACCAATTTAAAATTAAGACTTTGGGGTGGGGGTGGAGGGAAGGGAATAAAGACATGTTCTTTTTCTTTGCCTTCTGGCTTCTGAGTAGTTACAGATTGCATTTTAAAGCTCTTCCCTACAATCTCCAGGGCTAAATAATGACTTTTAGAAAGAAAAAAAAAAAAAAGAAAACTGACTTTTAAGTAAGCATATATCTCAGAGATAGAGTATTACATTTAAACACCACAGTCTTGAGATTTACAAAAAAGTATCATTTAACAAACTGATTTAGAGATTATAACTTACATCTAAGTACTGCAAAAAGTTTTTACAATCTACTCTGAGTATAATGGGAAATTTTGGATTTGCATACATAGTTTATTAAAATGACTCACTGAGCTATTACAAAAAAATTACTGACTTTCTGTAACCTATCTCCATAAACATTTTAATTTCTGGTGAAGTTTGCCAATCACAGTAGAAACTTCAAATTGTAGCTATTTAACAACAGATGAGCTCTATAGAATTCCTCACGTAGGGTCAGACAGAAAGCCTTTCTCCCTCAGGACTTATTTCTACCTATCACTGAAAGATTAAAAATCATTTATTTCAATTATATTACAGTAAGAAAGAAATCTTTATTGGCCAGTTAAAGGCCACTATATCTAAAAATAATAATTAGCTTTCACAGGGAGTCATTGATGCGTTTACCATTAGCTTTTAAGGCTAAAGGTAAAACGGACATAATTAGCATCATTTGTTAAATGATTAATATCAAGTGGGTACCTAACTCTTACTATTCAAAGAAACTGGAAACAATTAAGATTATTTGTAGGAATTGCTGAGTTGCAAGAAGCTGAACAAGTTAGTACAATGTAATATTTATTTTAGCAAAGACTAGGCTATGTCCTGGAAGTCCTACTATAGCTTCTGGCCTGCTCAAACTGTTGCAACTTCATTCTTTGCCAATTGGACAAAAAAAGGTAATATATGTCTTCTCACTAACACACAAAATAAATAGATTTAGTATTTTAGAAACAACATCAAAGGAAAATCCTGATGACTGCTGCAGGCATTAAATAGTTGATTAAAGTTCCTGCCATGTTCAATTTCTATCATTGTAATTAATCAACCAAAAGGGATTGTATGAAAATGTTTTATAACACTCTTACTAGGTGAATGTAATACCTCATCAGGAGAGCTACACTTTTGAGCAAAACGTATATATATATATATATATGCAGTTTCTCAAGTTTCCAGGTTGTTTTTTAAGTAAGACACATTGTTTTAATAAAATATCAGAAATGCTTTAAGAGGCAATTACTCTGGCCTCCTTACTAAGGGATTTGACTGTATTTGCTCAGAGATCTACTTTGGACTCCTATACTACAATTCTTAGAGAAAAAGTCATAGCTAAAATACAGAAATGCCTGCTAACCAAGTAGATGACTGCAGATGCACCTAGAAATAGACAAGATTTTAACCAACACTACGGCTTATATGGAAGCTTTACTAACAAGATACTCTTTGTAAACCTGTAAGCCACACTCTATTCACTGCTCTGGTTTCAGCACATCACACTCAAATTAGCTTTACTGTAGGTAGGTTTGGGTGCTGCTGGCAAGGTAGTTGTGGTGTCACAGAATGTAGTATGGAAAGTTTGGGTAGTAAACTAAGGCGAATAGCTCATGCTGCTATGAACATATCAAGCCATATCCAACTTATCCCTCCACAATAATGAACTACCAGTGGAAAACTGCATCCATGACACAAACCTATCTATACAGTCAACTGAGAATTTGGTAATAAGATCTAGGCCTTGTATGATTCAATATTGATTTTATTGAAAACTGACACTTGAAGAAATCAACGTATATTTCTGGTCATCAGTATTTATCACCAGTTACCATTTCTGTTCAATTCCAACCTCTCCCCTGCACCTCCAACCTCCAAAACCTCAGCTGCCATCAATGTTAGGTTTCTGGCCTCCCTCTCAGGCTGAAACTGGTCCAAGATTTTAACTAATACTTCTGGGTGAGAGGAGGAGTGCTGCAAACCCAGATTTGTACTAAAGAAGAGGCCGAAATTGATTTTTTAAAAAATTATAACCAGTTACTTTGGAGAGAAACCACTGTGCGACCCAGAAGATTGAGGCAGCACAAAACTGGTATTTGTTAGTTAAACACCATATCCCGTCAAGTCAAGGAAACACACTTGTAGGCTTGTACGAAAAGCATAGCAGAGCTATTTTCAAAGTAAACAGCAGGAATCCACAGCCAAAAGCTGATCAAAGGATGAGTTTGGGGAACAGATACAGAAGGCTTAGATTTAAGAAAACTTAAACTTTCTAGACCACTCCCACTATCAACAATTTAGGAATATAATACTCACTAGAGAGTATTTTACAGAGAATAAATATTTTGAAGACATAGAAAAATAGTTCACAGCATCAAGGTACCTGTAATATATTACCTTGAAATAAAACTTGTATTTAAAAGATTAAAAAGAGAAGATTGTTCTTGTAGTGGTATCAACTTTTCATTCATACAAATATTAAGCAGAGTATATCTGGTTTTTCATATATTCACATTATTGCTTGTTACCACAACTGTACAAGGAACGTATTCTTAACTTACATTAATGTTCATGTACAGTAATTTTAGATACCTAACACAAATTTAAAAATATGATTGAGTTGCAATTAAAAAAAAAAAACAACCTATGTGTGAAGATATGTACAACTAAGATATAAGTAGAAGAAACAAAATACAACTGGCCTGACCCAAGCATACATCATATATCCAGTTTAAAAAGTCTTATACTAATGCAGAAAATAAGCTCTGTAAACCAAAATGAGCAGAAGCAAGGGTGCAATAAATAATTATCTAATACGTTTAAACTTACACTGTTGTCCAGTGTACCCTGCTTTGATTATTTTTAATACACAGCATCTGCATTTGCATCTGGAACTGTACTGTTCAAGACTTCTTCAATAACTTTTTCCTGCTTATGTGGCTTTAAAACAAACAACAACAAAAAAAACCCCGAAAGGTCCTCTTGGACAGTAAGTTTTACTAAAACAAGTCCTTCTGCACCTCTGTGTACAGGATCCGGTAAACAGTAGGAATAAAGCTGATACATGGGCATTAGCCTGAATTAAAACAGCTACATTATAAACTGCAATACTAATATATTTTTGTGATCTTGAGTTCTACTAATCAGATGCATGCAATTCTCTCAGCAATTCTTCTAGTCTTAGTAAAATAATTATATTTTGCTGCTTTTATTTTTTTTAACCTTTAAATTAGAACTTTTTCAGAACCAGCTGACAGGACTTCTTCATGAAAAGCACAGAGATTGCTACTAATGCAATGACATTTGGGTTCCAAAAAGCAGTTTCAGAAAGAACTTTATCTCCTTCTTTTGTTGGAAGAGGTTAGCCAATATCCAAAAACGAAATAAAAATAGTTACAATTGACTAGTCACTGACAAAAATTTAGGAAGATCTTACTTCGGCATGTAAATGAATGATTAAAAGGACTTACACAATGTACAGTCAATCAGTTGTGTCATTTTGGGATAAAAAAATACCTGCTCACTTGTATACCATTTTCAGCTGTGTATTTATAGTAATATATATATGTACACACACGCGCGCGCGCACACATATAAAAGACTCTTTGAAAATCAAGATACATTAATAAACAGAAGTAATAAAAGTAACAATAACTTAAGTAGTAGTTAACATCTGCGTGAAATTACTTTGTGGATTTTGACCAACTGCACTTAGAACATGCTCTTATTTAAAAAACAAACAAACAACAAAATAAAACAAAAAAAACCCCAAACAAACAAAAAAATGAAAACACCACAAGATTCTGTAGAACCAATGCTATGTCACCACCAGGAGAGCACCAAGCAAGGCACCATTGGAAAGACAACATACTTGAATAAGTCTCTATAAATAAATCAAATGCTAATCTGGTCGAAAAATCGGTGTCTTTGGTAAAAATTCTATAAGGATGACCTGTATAAAAAGAAAACAAATATATATTAAATGGAAGATGGCAGCAATCCTATTATCTATTACAATGATAAATAACATGCTTTTTTTTTTTTTTAAGTACATCAAGTTGTGATGATGATGATCAAATATCACAGTGCTTTTCTTACGTAGGAGACCTTTAGAAAAGTCATGTTCGGTATAATTGTTATGGGGTAGAAAATCAAAACTCTTGAAGAATCAAATTCAATTGGAAAAGTTTGCCTACCAATACCTAACACATCTAAACAAACTGAAATAAGCTACTACATAATTATTCTTCAACATAATTCATTTACTTTACTAGGAAAAAATTATAAAAGAGATAAACATATTCATGTAAAAAAACACCAGAAGGCACAATGTATGCAAAGTTAATTTTCAATTACTCATGCAATTCCCTCTACTTCAAAATTTTTTCCACTTAATATAGGATTCTAAATCATGCTTCTAGTTCAAAACTCATACAGAAAGGTGTATCACCCTTTGCAGAGTTCCCATGTCTAACAAATCTGCAAGTAGTTAACAAGAAACTTGACTAATGCTTTTGCATGATTATTCTTATGGTCCCGATTCACATTTAAACTATGTATTTCTGAGCTATGTACATATAGTAGGGTACACTCCAGAATGCAATCCAAGTATTTATCCTACTTCAAATAGAAAGCTTAAAGAAAATGTTCACATGTGCATTTTCTTTCTTCAGCGAGACAGTCATAATAGAGCAGCGTGACTGTATTCATAAACAAGTAAATGCATCTGGTAACATATCTAGGAATTTTATTTACTTGTAAGGGGAGCATGCCTTTCTAAGAAGTTAAAAAATAATTTCTGAATGGTTTTGATTGTAAAGGAGAACACAACTTGCCTTCTTAAACACTTCTATCTCTGATAGGATACTGAACATCAGAAAAGAAGTAAGTCTGATTTTATTTCTAAGGTAAACACTTTTGAAATACTGAATGTCAAATTCAGGTGTATAAGTTTATTTTTAGAGATATTCAGAAGTGACTTATTTTCAGAAGTGATGCAAACTGATCAAAATCCATTGATCACTGACATGAGTCAACCACTGGATGTTTCAGATATACCAGGCTTCTGATATTCAGGCAAGGTTTCAAAAAGGGAGCAAGAAGTAAAGCTGGAACATTGTGTTTATGCCAAAGGTGTAAGACTATCTTGTCTTTATTTAATTTATTTAATTATTTATTTTATTTAGCATCTGCAAGAGTGGATTTAGAACATCAAGTCAGCAAAGCACCAAGTTTGAGGTACAAGAGTCTGATTTAAATCACCTGTTTTGAAAAAAATTGAGGATAAGTGTTTATTATTTAAAATTAAATCGTGAATACAACAATAAGGGCAGTTTTTAAGAGACTAGCAAATCAGTTCACTGAAAAAATCAGAAAATAGTACAGAGAAGTTTTGTAAAAATTTTCTCATGAAATACATCCAGATATTAGATGTTTCACAAATTGAAAATAATATCTTCAATATTTATCCTGTAAAACTACATGCTCATGCTTACATATTATTAATATAAACAGGTCAACTGATTTTAAATTGTATTTAATAGAATGAATGTTCATCTGTAAATGTTGCTGGGTAATAGTATTTACAAACTAGCATTGTATGTGTTTTTTTCAATTGAATCTGCAAAACATCAGATGTGACAAGGTTTTCCTGTAGAAACGTGAAATAAAAACCCCTCCATTTAGGTAAAACTCAAATCTACTTTCTGAAATTTGCTTTATTCCATTTTCACTCAGTCTCATACATCTAAACCAAAAAATTTTGTAGAATAGATGTTACAAAAAGTCTACTTATTCAGTGAACTGAATAGAGCCATTCTGTAAAAAACATTTTAAAGATCTTGTTTCAGGCTAGAAATAAGATCTAATGTAGAAACAGGAAAAGGGAGAAGACTAAAAGAAAATTATTATTTTAATATAATTTCCAACTAATTAATCACTTTTAAATTTTTTCATATGCATGATAGCTTTGTTGTTTCAAAGAACAAAGTACCATGTAATGAAAGATCACAGATAAGTTCAAACTAACACAGTAGATATTTCTCAAAGGTTAATCTTTATTTTTAAAAAGTTAACCCTTCCTATCGCCTACTTCCTAGAGCATTAAAAGAAATTATGCAAATTCTAACGTTTCTTACATTTTAGCAGCTTAATTTCATCCTATTCTATGTACCTCCAAGATATTTTGAAAATGGAAATAAGAACAGCACCAAAAAAGAGCAAAAAGGTTGCAAGCTAAAAAAACTTAAATCCCACATTGGACATCATTCATTTTAAACTGCACATAACTTCTTGCTGTGTGTTTCCAAGACAGGCTTATGGAGTCTCAGTCAAAGGCTGAAGTAAGTTAAAACTCCAGAGACTGAAAAATTTTAGTGACACCAATTGGAGGGAGATAAAGATACTTTCAAGACAGTTGAGATAAGGGGCAGTTAAAATCTAAAAAGGCTAAAGGTTTCTTAAGCTCCAACAGCTTAGTTGAAAGGTCTTCTTCCATACTTTTAGACTTGATTAGCATTATATAAAACAGCCATATCTGACTTGCTGCGTAACCAAAGTTGTGGTTATTCTTTATACAGCATCTAAAATTTCACACTCCATCAGCACATGTTCAAGCTATTTTATCTTGGCAATTAATTTATTATTTTTCAGAACACAGTGAAGCCTTGTTTTCAAGTCATTCATAACTTTATAAATCAGTCCTGCACATGAAACCATGCATCTGTGAACCGTAGAAAATCCTTGCACTCAGGCGATTAAGCTCCTGACACCTTTACTGATTAATAATCATGAAAAGAATAAGATCAGAAGCAAAATAAATGATCATTTAATAGAGAAACTCACAAAACAGCCCTTTAACTTACATATTCCATCATGTTATTCGTTTCACATTTCCTTTTGCTTAGTCTCCAATGCAAGCACAGCTAGACAAGGAGGAAAGAAAAAGAAGAAAAATGAGCTGTATTTTATTGCAGCACACAGACTAGCCCATTTGTCCACCTTTCATATTTTTCGTTCAACAAAAGCATCTGTTTCCATACTGTGCAATTCAAACTCCAACAGTACGAAGCTGCTCCCTGCGGCACTCACCTTGTGGTATAACCTATTGTTTTCCCATTCTAATAACTTCTCAATCGATCTTCGTGTCTGGAAGACAAATGAGAAAGAATTTTACTCTTGACTGGTTTTAGAAAAACTTTGTTTTGCAGCTGCTTTTGTGTGAAAAGGAGAGGTACAGGACAGTGACTGAGTACAGGGTGGTCTGTAGCACTATCAAAATTTCTCTGGTATTAAATAGTAACTAGAACAGAAACAACTTTTTATGACACCCAAATAACCATCTTCAACCAATTTGGAACACTAACTGTTCATATATATGCTTTCTGGTTCTTATAGCAGTTATAACTTTAAAACCACAGAAATTTCAAAGTGATCTAAGTATAAAAGCAAGAACACTGCTCCTTCGGTATCAGTGGTCTAAATGCACCGCTTCTAAGAAGGTCAGCATCTAAACTGAGAAACGTTGCAAACTACTTTGCAATGCTGTAGGTCAAGTACAAATTCACAACACTCTAAACAAAAGAAAAAATTTTGTTACTTTTATATCCAGATTTTAGAGACTGAAAACCAAATGCAGAAAGTTACAGTAAACTGCACAAATTAATATTACTAAATCTGTGATTTGTATAAAGAGCTAACCCAATATTTAAGATTCTAAAGCAAAGTTTTACTGCCTATGTTGTCCACAGTTGACACTTCAGACAGAGAATCCTGAAAGCTGTTCTGCATAGCTTTTTAAGATTTGCACGCTAGTATTAAAGGACATTCTGTGCTATAAAGTTTCACAGCATTTTGAATATAATTATTCAGTTATATTTACATTTGAGAAATACATTCTGACATTTATGGTCATTTGACTGCCAGAATATATACTGCTTAGCTCTAAATGGGATTTGCTACTGACTATGAATAAAAAGAGGATAATTCATGGTGCCAGGTGTTAAGATGAGACCAACAGAGCTGCAGGTGCAAAAGGACGGAGCAATGACAAGGATCAAATACAACTTAGTGCAGCTGCAGCTTCCTTACAAGGCAGAGAGGGGTGAGGGGAAGGGATGAGAAAGCATCTTGCTGTTATTACTACAAAATACAAGTACTGTAAATGAACCTTAACAAATCAAACTAAGTGCTGTCACAAGAAACAAGAATGTCTGAGTAAAATAAAAATTAGACAACAAATTATTCATTTCCCACCAAATATTAACATCTTGGTTTTCAAACACCAGTTTCTCTCTAGTTTAATACCGAAGTGGTTGCGGGGAAGCACATCTAAGCATGTACTGTGGTCACATGATTAAAAATTAGATCATTGCTATCTATGAGTAATCATTACACTGAATTTTTATTATGTTTTATTTTAAAAAGCACAAGTCAAGGAATTATCGGAAGGTGGATGTGCCAGTGACTAATTTATCACATCAACTGGGAATTGAGTATTTTGGGGGTTATTGTTATTATTATGTTTTTAAAGACAGTGCCCTTTAACAATAATCAGTAGACCTCACTTGTTTCTTTGTAAAGATAGCCTTTTAGAGTCTGCTCTCCTTTTAAATGAAAATAGGGCAGCAGTTATGGTCACACTTTTGTTAATTTAGTTGCCAGTCAGCTCCAAATCAAAAGAAAATAAGGCTGCAGAGTGTAATTAACATTCAGTTCAGTCGTTTTGTCCCTTGTCTAGCCCCCAAGCTTTGTTAAAATTGCCATCTGAATGCTGAAGGCTGTAGGGAAATCGATTTGATTCTAATCGCACCATGAAAAGAACATGATCTAACTGCTTTCAGCCCTCCGTAAATCTGTACTAGGTCTTTAGCACAATGCAACTTCCAATTTAAAAAGCACTGAATGTCTCGTCAATGACTTTGTGAAGAAAAAAGAACAAGGAGCAGACATAAAAATTCCAATAGTTGTTTAAGCATTAAAGTTCATTTGCATCACAGCAAACCTGAAAAGGGCTGACCTCTCAAACCGCCTCTCAGGTCTATGAAGTTGTAGCCTTGACAAGCTCACATTGACAGAGCTCATTGACTCTGAAAGGCTACTCTATCAATGGTGAAAAATGGCAATAGGTTCTACTCTGAGCAGGCATCTGCCTGCCCACCCGCTGCTAAACCAATGGCAAAACTGATTCAAAACCTGAATCTACCTTGTAATCTTCCTTTCCAGGACCTTTTAATAATAGATTAAGATCACTATACAATTTAATTTCATTGTTTGCCCCAAAGAGTGTGAAAAACATCCAAGCTTTTCAAATTCCAATAAAATTACATATATATTACAGTACATACACATAAATAAGAAATTGATAGGTGGTTATGTACTATTAATTGGTTTCTTTAAATAAGAAGCCAGTTTAAAGTCATTTGACTAGCATGAGATAAAAACACATGCAGCCTCGAGACCACGATTATTTATGTTCCCAGAGTCTTAAATACAATCCTTCCTGTAGTATAATTTGGAATAGTCATAGCTCCCAAATCACGCCATACAACAATACAGAAATGTTAATGAAAATTAGACTGTAAAATATTTCTACAAACCTCGGAGCTTGGAATAGAAAGAAATTAATTAAACAGCATCACACAATTCACTATAGTAAGTTTTCTTCCTGCTTGACAGGTGAAAAAAAGCACTTGCACGTGCAGCTTAATTAATCACTGCTCTTGACATCTCAATGATTTACAGTGAGGAGCAGGTGAGGATATACAAAACCAGAAAGGAACACTTGATTTGAGTGTAGCATTTCCAGCACACTAGGATGACAAGCTTATATATTCTATCAATGGCGTACAGAAAAACCCATACAGCAAATTATTTGTTAGCCACAACAAAAGCACAAATTAAGTGGAAGAGAGACTTGCTTATTAGAAAGATTTAATACTATCCAGATTTTAATTTTTTTTCTTAAAAATCCCAATCCAATATTTGAGCAAAGCTAAAACTGCAATTCAAGGACACTTTTTAGCATACCCATGATAAGAAAGTATGCTTTGTAACATACTCCATGAAAAAAGCAGATAGTCTTTAATGTTATCCACAGAATTTTGTGAAATAGACCTCTTCTACTATCTAGATGCGATGTTTAATGAAACATTCCTGTAAAATAACTGATTCATTCAAGATAGTCATGTTTGACAGTGTCTTTTGAAAAAATCAGACTACTAAAAAAGCTCAACTCAGAATACACTTTCACCAATGCTTATTGCTGCCAATTAAAAAAATTAAATTAAATTGAAAGTAAAATAAAGTTTTGCCCTTAAACATGGAAGAAAAAAATAGTTAGATTAAGTACGAACTTTTCATGCAGAAACAAGGCAGTATTGAATACAAATAGTGTGTTACCTGTATTACCAACTACAAGACCTTTCTGTTATGTCTCTGCAGTGTCTAGTGAAGTTAGCTTACAATTCCAGATGCAGTTATGATCTGGACTGGGCGGCTGTGCGGCCACAAGGTCCCCTCTTGCAGTGCATGACCTGGAACATGCACACTACACTAAACGGTACTAGTGAATGGGCCAAAGCCCCCTCAACTCCTGCTGTAAATCAGTCAATGACTGGTACAATATTAAACAAAAGGATCTTACATGACTCCCAAAATGGTGCTAATTTGAGTACCTCCCTTTGTCTTTATTTAAGTGGGGAAACAACATGGACAGTAACAACACAATCCTGCACTATCAATTTTATTCATAGTAGTCTGGGAACAAAAGAAAGATCTCCCACTACCTGCATTTAATCTTTGACTTCTCATCTGAAAACTCCAAAACATATGTAAATATAGTGCAACGTTATTCCAATAAATAGTAAATGGAGAGTTTCAAATTCCTTCATATAAAACTTTACTACAATCAAGCATTAATAATTTTGAATATTGCCCTAAAAAATACACTTTATGCTCAAATTTCAAGATACAGAGAGACTAATTTAAGCAGATTTTTGTTGATTCTCACATGGCCAGAATTTGTATTACACCCCGCAGAAGAAAGGCAAAGGATCCTATCAGAGGTCTGAACTATACCATCTCTGCTCATTCAAAGAGAGAAATGATAGAAGCAGGAATTTCTGTTCATCCTCCAAAGATATATCTGACCACAAAACTGATACCCAAGTAATTTAGTTATCAGCACAAACAATGAAATATAAAGTTAGAAGATAACTGAGTCACACAACTGTATGCTCACTTTCAACACGTCAGAACATCCCCCAAGTCAATTTTGGGGCCCATATTGGTCCCACGAAAATGTCAAAGCTGTACTCGGAACACACGTAACTGAATTACACATATCTTTCTCAGCACAGATGAAGTCCCCACCTTGAACACTGTATCACAAATAAACCCTCTAGAAACTGTAAATTGGTAGGATTCCCATCTTACTGAGGAATTCTCTATTTGTGAAGGGCAAAGGTGACATAGGTAAAGCCTGAGTTGATTTCAGATCCTGACATCCTGGAATATCTGCTTCAACATGTACAGTAGTTTGAAAAGGTGTCTGTTCAACCACATAGGTGTATCTTGCATCATCTTTCCTATTAGTAGCTAGGATATTTCTTACTAGAAACTATTGTAAGGGTGCTCATCCCAGAAGCCACTGCAGCATCCACGCAAGAAAGTGAATGAAACCCATATTACACGGATTAAAGAGTATCTGGAAATAAATGTAGCATTCTGGTGCTTTTTGTATGATCTTGAAATAACTACCTTGTCCAACAGGATTACTATTGCTGCATCTTGTCTTACCTTACAGATGATTCTGGGCAGAAAGTGAGCCCAGACCAAAGCACAGATCAAAGCTCCTGATCAGGCAAGGAGAAATAAAATCATCAGAATTCTGGAAGAGAAGTACTGACAACATCAAGTTCACCTCAGGAAACTTCCTGTTCTAAAAGATAGCCCTGATGATATTATCCCATACCCTCACATGATCCATACACTGACCTAATTTGTACAGGTTTCAACCCTGGGTTGGTACATCACAGAGAGAGATGAATTTAAAGCTTAATGAATCAAATCAGATCAACTACATTCTGGAAAGGTCTCTTCCACCACATTGTCTGCTGATATAAAGAGGAAAGCAGCGTATTTGACAT